AGACTAGGCTAGACATTTTGGTATTTATTATTTTTTTCCACGAGCTATCCGAAAACCAGAATTCTTCAACAATCTCAACAAGATTTCTCTGGTGTCTAAATTTTGTTTTCAAAAGCCGGGGTTTTGCAATAACCTATCTGGTTTTTTTCACTAAATAACTCATAATGTACAGTCAATATATAGCTTTTATCTAAGACTGGGACCAAGGTCGGGACCCGAACCAGAAAAAATTTATGACTGGGACCTGGACAAGAAAAAAATTATGAGCGGGACCAGAACAAAAATTACGACCGGGACTAGAAAGATTTTCACCGGGACCGAAAAATAGTGCTTTTACAGATGCCTACCACACCCACCCAAACCCACTCCCACACTCCACACCACACACACCCACCCACATCCCACACCCACACCCGCAATTAGAGACACCATTCGACTCTAAACAAGGTACTGTTACCGAGTTACTGAATTGGAGAATTTTTTTCATAGTAATCCGATTGAAATTTTTTTCTTTTACTTGGCGTAGCGCAAAACTCTAATTTTCTGAAACCTAGTTGCTTACGACTCCCTTCAAACATTGTCCGATCGGACTGAAATTTTTACCACAGATACTTGCAAGTATCCTCTAGAGTTAAAATCAACCGTTTTCGCTTTTGACTTTTCTACCAGAACTAATAGAGACCTGGACGCCAAGACCCATGTATTGGTTCTGAATCTTTGCGTATTTTTCTTATAAAAAAAAGGTGAGATTTTTAAGCAAAGCTTAAATTTGCCTCTGAGAAATAGTCTTAGGTATCTCAGAAAAAATTTTCAGTCAAATCGGATAAAGTTTGATGGGGTTCGTAATGTACCAGATTGCAAGTCTCTGAAAAACCAGGGTTTTCTAGAAAACCTCACGAAAATCTACTTCAAAATTTTTTTCCTTGGACACATATCTCCTTATTTTTGGTGCTCTACCTGTGGTGAATATTTCAGCTTGACCGGTTGTATCGTCTCCGAGAATCAAACAAGGTCCGAAAAGAGGCCACTTACTCTTAAGAACAGATAACATGAAGAAAAAAAAGGTTATTATCTTTTTATATAGGTTTGATATTTTGTTTTTATACAAAAATATCGAAAACGATTTTTTTTTTGTTTAATCAGTCCGATTTAAAGTAGTTGTTTATTTGCTTTATGTCATAAAACACAAGTTAGAATGGATGTAATCTTCAGATGGTACCTCAATCACGTGGATAAAGTATTGGACATATAGCATCTAATTATAGTTACAAATTGTTATTGATCTTGACCAAGCGAAGTTTTACTAACTTTTATTTCGAAGAAATTTCTTTTTTGGACAGTTGTCATCAACGTAGCCGTCTTCGGTGGAAAAATCGTTAAGAAATGGTGTAAATTTCATGCAATAATGATTTTCTTTTATGAAGAAATAAAAAAAATAACAATTTTTTTTATCAACCAGTAAAATAGATTCGTTTTGTGAAATAGTAAAAGCTACATCAACCTGATCAGCTTTTTAAAGTTTTAAATCTATTTTGTGGAGTTTTGGTTATCTTTTTTCTCCAGAAAGATCATTTTGGTCTACTGTACTCAGTACAAATGGCTTTAGAGAGAAAGATATTCAGAAACTTTTTCGAACTTGGTATGAATGTAGTTTTCTCTCAAGACTCAAAGATAAAACTATTTCCTATCAGTTTTCAAGCTGTTTTTGTGCTGAAAAAACTGTTGTATTATAAATATAAAAAATTACTCCTTTTGATAAGACATGTTAATTTTTCTTAAATTTGATCAGTTCGGAACGTCTTTTCACATCGTTTTTTGCTTCTTCCCTATTTTTTATTGGCACATAATAGTGTGTCTCTCTTCTATTTCAATATGCACTTTTTCTATATTAATAGAATACCAACTATGTATGATATATGAAAAAAGAATTTATGTAGAACAAACAATTAAAATCCTGTTGCTACTTGAAGTATATCCCACTCTAACGAAGAAGTTTTTTATACCGTGCTCTCTGTCATTTTAGTATCAACTTAGTAAAAATGAAACAAAAAGAAGTTCATTTGATCTGATTATATACTTTGTCAAAAAGCCTCTTAATAACTATGTTCTTGTTACTTATCTTCCAGTCCTTGTTTTTATAATATGTAGTGTATTAACTCTGGTTATATCTCTATCAATGTTGATAATAAGACTTTATTGAGGTACATTCATCATTTTCATTGGTGGATCAAACTCTTTTCAATTGGTGCATTAGATTTAATTCGTTTCTCTCTTCCTCCAAATGTGTTATATCTGAATGAACTTTTCTGCCAATCACGTTTCTTCATTCTGAATTAACTTTTCTAATGAATACAAGGTCTTATTCGAATGCGCAATAATCGTTATCATTGGTTTTTAGAATGAATTTAATCGATAGTGAAACATTTTATACTCTATTACGAAACAAATATGTTCTTCTTTTTAGTGATTCAATAATGCGTTTTATGTATAAAGATATAATATTATTTGTTCAAGGACAAAATCGTTTATTAACAAGTGATGAATGAAAAACTAAGTTAGATGATAATGATATGTCAACATTAAATGATTAATTATTAACTGGTGATAAAAAAACAAATGATACATCATATTATGAAAGACGTTCTTGTTTAACAAATACACATTTAATAAAATTTGTTTTTTACACGATGTTTTAATGAACAACTGAGAAATCAATTATGTGAAATGTCTGAAAATAAATCTATTATACCAGGTATTATTCTTCTTAATTGTGCTATCTGGGATATAACAAAATATGAAAAAAAATCGTGAAAAAGATTATGCACAATTATTTGAAGAATGTTTTCGTTCAATACGTTCAATTATTCAAGCACAAACAATTGTTATTTGGCTAACAGCAACACCATTTTCAAAAGATGCTCGCGGTATCTTAGATGAAACATGTTCAGAAAAGAAAAAAATTTTCTTCGTATAAGAATATTTCGTATAAATACATTTTCATCAGAATTAGCAAAAAAACTATAATTTTCAAGTTATTGATCTTCATTATCTTGTTCGTAAACGGATACAACATCGTCATAAAGATGGTATGTATGAATTCATCTTGAAATTCCAACATATATTGTACGTTA